GGGGGACTCCACTAGATACAGGCCTCGTGTGTGCATAAGCAGCTCTGACTCAGGCTTAGGAAAAGAGAGGACAAGAAATTGTGGGTAGGGACTACCTGTCAGGATGATGCACCACAATTAGCAAGGACTGCAAGGGCTTGTTGCAGACTTTTCCATGGCTAGCTACTTTGCAACTGGCTAAGGAACACCTTGGTGTCCAGACAATCACTAAAATGTTGTATACATGCTAGTGGAGATGAAGGGTGGAGGGGATTAGGAAATCTGGTAATAACAGATGGAAGAGGTACTAGAATAGAGACCATCATCGTGCCAGAAGACTTGGGAACCCTCAAGTTAGTTTTTCGAAAGGAACTCAACTTCCACAGAAAGGTCAAAACTAAGGAAGTTGCCTGCAAGGAGGAGAATGCTTCACATATTGTCCAGTACCTGTTCCGTCTTCCACCATTTCTCCTATCGCAATTATGTAGCTGTCAGTTTCATTTAATTCCAGAGTCTCTGTCTTCACCACAAAAGTATTGCAGCCATTCTTGTTCGTCTGGAGAAAGAGGGATATGAACAGAGAGAAAGAGCATGGTGTGGAGGAAGAGGAGCTGTTTCTTGATGCTGGGCAAACCTTTCTAAAGAAGTATTTCCAAATGCTGTGGAACAGATGGAAGCTCAAAAACCTATAACTGCAGTAACCCATCATGGATACTTTAGCTGGAGAAGAAAATCAACATGCTCGGATTAAACAGTCACCAAAAAAGTGGCAGAAAAAAAGTGCTTCAGGCAAATCACATAAGGGTTTATTATGTCACAGATGAAATCAGAAGACTGGATTGAAAGAGCATAGACCTGAGCTAAAGATAAACTCCTCCCTGAAGCTAAATGGCCCTGAAGAATAAAGCCTGACACTGTGGCTTTCCAGTCGTGACCATCTCTGTGACGTGGCCATGTTAAACAAGGGCATCCAGCCATTACAGATTGCAAGAGCTTTGCCAAGCATTAAGGCAGAAACTGGGTACAGCTAGTCTGCCAGAGAGGGGAGGTGGACAAAGTGTTTCTAGTCATGCCTGTTAAGTTCTCAACAGAACCTTGTGGGGCCTCTTACATACCACGTGAGAGGGAGCTGGCATTCGGCTGGTGTTTTGCACAGCTAAGATTGTACAGCATTCCAGCTGGAGATATTTTGTTACTGGGTGCATTTTAAAAGATGCGGAGATCCAGCTGGATTTTTTATATTCTGGCTTGTTGCTGGCCGGTCTGACATTTAGAAATATTTTATTGCAACTTTCAGGCTGAAAGAGCTGCATCTGAAAGCTGTGGGAAAAAACAAGTGTGGAGCTTAACCACAAATGTATAATGAACATAAATGTGCAGAAAGCATAACCAGCACTGAACGCAGTCTCAGACAAGACACTAGCAATCTTAAGATGATCCATTAACTATATGGATACAGCAAGAAACAGGGCATTAAGCCACAGACCATATGATGTTCTGATAGCCTGCTTATTCATGGCTGTGGTCACAGGACTGAACAGACCAGTGATCTGATTGCATGCGATATAATACAGACCCTTGGGAAAAGCCCCAGGCATTATTACTTACACAGGGCTTACACATTCTCCTGAAACACCAAATCAGATATGGGCAGCTAGAGCAGTAATTCAAGCAATAGAGTCACAGGAAGAGGAATCAATGGTCTGATCAGGTCTAGCAAGTGGGAAGACACCAGTAGGAAACAGGTTGGTGCACATCAGAGGTGCATCAAGGCAAGTTAAGGGGACAGACATACATTTCCAGCAGGTTATACTTTCAACTCTTCTTTTTGTTCACCTACCCAGCTGTTTTGCTTTCTCATCTCAGTAGAATTTGATAAATTGCCTTCCAGAAACTGGGATAATGTGATAAAAGTAATATCTATTTTCCCTTGAACGGGCTTCCCGTAGGCATACCTGTGTCAAAGGGAAAAAACATGCACCTGAAGACTGTCCGCTTCAGCAGAAGTATTGATCCAGGCCACCCCTCACACTCATCTGAGGGAAGTGGAGCCTGGGAGATATTAGGAACTTCAGCTCATCCCTCAAGATCATTTTGCATCCCTCTCCACCCACTATACCTAGCATCCTTAGTGTCCTTCAGCCTCACAATAAATTACCAGGTGCAAGAAGAAGCCCATTCCGGAGAGTGATCTGGCTCCCCCAACCACAGGGCCATGCAAGAACATCACACTGGAAGGACACTTCTCAGCTGTGGGCAATCTGGAGGTGACTGTGGAGCCAAACCCAGAGATCACAACGGTATCATGTACTCACTTGCCACAGACCTTCAGCTGAAATTCCTCATCCACTGTAGCGATAAATGGAGGGTGCTCAATCTTTATCTCAAATTTTTTTAGCACTGTATGTAAGAGAAAAAGATAAGGATGGAGCTAAAAAAGCAATCCTGAGTATGGACACTGACTGTAAGTTCTGTTATAGCTGCAGCCCAGATGGGGGGAAAGACAGTAATGTCCCCAGTTATTCATCCCCATGCTGCAACAGAGGTTGCTTCCTTCAGACACACCACCCTCTATTTGCTACCACAGTTGCACATGGGACTGCTTTCTACGCCAGCTCAGTCAAGTACAAACATTTTAAACAGCACAGGGTTTTGTTCTTACCTACATCACTGCAACTGAGGGGGACTAAGGCATGATGCTGCTTCCTATTATGGCAGCTGACTGGAGTGGGCAGTAAACTTAGCTTAGAAGAAGGTGACAGTGAGCAGCAGAAGCTGCTTACCACAGGGCCAGCTACAGCTAAAACAAGATGGCATACCACATTGTCTCCCTTGTACCCTATGCAGCTGCAGAACCTCCAGCCCAGCATGAGATGATCACACAAATCCTTCTGTCTCTGTCCCCAGCTTTCTGTTTTCCCAGGGCAAAAGGTCTGATGAACATGGCCACATAGCCTTGCTCTTTTCTCCAGCTGCCCACACAGTTTTTCCATCACCTCTGTTGTCCAGGTCTTACCGTATTCATCAACACTGAAGGATTTTTTAGCCATGTCCTGTTGCACTGATATGGTATAATATCCAAGGGGTGCTTCAGAGGCCAGGGGAAAGGACAGATCCACAATGCCATGTCTTGACTTCACATTCCGCCACTCAGCAATACGGTTAGATTCAGGATCCTATTTGGGAAAGGACATGCAGAGCCACTAAGTCACACTGCGAGCATGGGTATCTGGTAGGTCCAGCCATACTCAGGCACAAGAAGGCACTAGGAGGGCTTGCCTCCAGTAGAGAGGATGCCAGATCACTGGGTGAGGTTCCTTCTCCTCCCTCCAATATTCTCTTACTGAACATTTGAATTGCAAAGGCTGCCAAGAACAGTAAAGCTACTGGGAAGTGGTAACACCATAACACTGTTGGAAGGAGAAGCAGCTGTGCTGAGCTTCTTAGCTGAACATCTGCTGAGCACTTAGCCTTGTGCTTTTTGCTCTGTGCAGACAAAGTATTGGGCAAAGGTTCATTACTGCCCTACCTCTAGCTCAGCTGTGTGCATCACAGAGGTGCTGCAGGTGTTTGAATGAAGAACCCAGGCTGACCAGGTAGAAGAGACTTCAGCTGAATGTGAACCATCACCATAACCTTATGAGGTTACATTTGTGACTGTCCAGGAGAGAAAGAGCACAGTAGAAGAGACAGACATCTCCCTTTGGTCAGTTCCTTGTCACTTACCTGTAGCCATATCTGGGAATACTGTAAAAACAAGAGAAACACAACCTCAGTTTTTTACAGAGCAAAACAGCATCCATCTGAATCAGTATTAATAACACTCCCTGACATGAGCCTCTGCCCTATCCAGACCCCACACTAGGTCTCTTCTTCCCTCTCTGCTAGCTTACACTGCAGTCTTTCTCCAAGGGGCCAGTGGATGAGTGGTCCTTCTTTGATCCCTTCAAAGATCATTTGTTCTCTCTCATGAGCCTCATGAGTGTCTCATGCTGAGGTTCCTACCTTCAGAAAAGAACAAGGTGATACTCACCTCATTTTTAATGACCTTAAGGTCCTCATCAAGGTTCACAATTCGAAATTTCACTGGAGAGACAAAAGGATAGTAAAGCATTCTGGCTACAACTTGTCCTTGCACAAATCTGCTTCTCCTTTTCTGTGCTCCATTATTCACGTCTCTCTGTTTACCTCAGAGGTATTCAGGTCCTTCCCCAAACAGCTCTCCCCAGCATCTCCCACCCCAGAGGACTTTGTCTGGGAGGTTTATCACAGAATCATAGAATCATAGACCTTTTAGGTCTCACCAGAGATACTTCACCAAAACAACACCTAAGAGCAGCAGACTGGGCATTTGGTACAGCACAGCTTGGAGGGGAATATCCTGACCCATACTGTTCCTGAAAACATCTGATAATAGAGTTCTTTCTTCCTTCTCCAACAAACTTAGTTCACTGCAGTTGATGAAATCTTCCCCCTAGATGTGGCTGCTACCTTGACCCTTCCCTCCCCATTTCTATATGGCACCTTCTTGCCTTACCTGTTTCTCCAGGTTTGTATAAGCCCTTGTCTGTCTCTACCAGAATTATATTATTCTGAGACTTGACCAGAACCTTCTTGCGACCCTCAAAGAGCACATTGTCTCCGCTGTGGATCAGGACATGCAGAAAAACCACCTTCTCTGGCTGTCAGGTTAAAAAAAACAAAATGCTTGAGACAACAAGTAGCTTGAAGGAGAAACAGAGGCATCTGTCATACCAAAATCTTCCAACTTTCCTCTCCTCCCTTCCCCTCCTTTGATTTAGCTCTTTCCTTTCCCTAGTCTTAGTCTTCTCTATGGTCCCCAGCTCCCTCATTCTCTTTTCTCTGCATTTCTCCTTGCCGTGTTTGCCTCTTTCCACATTTCTTCCTTCCCTTTACTGTCTTTCTCACCCTGCATCTCCAACATTAACCTGGGTCATTCACAGGAGAAGCTGAAGCCCTCTAGTTTGTAAGAGGAGAGGCAGTCAAGAAAGGTGTCTTACATGTGATGTGGAATCATCTCTCTTCCTGGGAATGAACTCTGGCACCTAGGTTGATTGATATAAGGAAATGGAAAACAAATTTGTCAGAGATTTTACATCTTATCCCAAAGGTGAAGCACCATCACACTGTTAAAAAAATCCCCAAATTTCAGAGTCCAAATTACACTGTATGACTCGGTCTCCAACCTGCTTGTCATTAGAGGGAGAAGCAACAGACACTGCTTGTCTCTTGTTGATGAACCTAAGGGTGAACCAACTGACACGTTGTTCTTCCACTTCACATAAATGTGAGATTTTTATCAAACTAAGCAAAACAATAGGGAAGTCAGATCTGAAGCTAACCAAGACAGGAAATGATCAGGCAGAAACTTTGGACATCTCAGTATCAGAAAGAATGGGCTCACCAGCAGAAAGGTTCTTTTTGCTAACAGCAGACTTTATTGGTTTTCCAGAGCCACGACTCACTCTCTCCTATGGGCTGGCACCAAACACTTAGTTAATAATTTTCTTGTTGATGCAAGAACTAGAAGTGACTACAGCCCCTCCTTCAGTGCTGCTGAATCTGCAGGACAATGAGGGCATAGGCACAGCAGCTTTGTATGGTGCTGAGAAAGACAAGGACAGTTTGTAGAGCCTCAGCACCAGACACATCTCCATGGCTCTCCAGAAATGTAACTGAAGGTCCAGTAGTCATGCCCCAGCCTCAGTATGTCTAGTTCAGCTAACTAGAGCAGAAGAGGTGCAATGACAGGAACTCAAGCCACCCAAGAAATATCCAGACTGCCTAGGTGAAATCCATTTCATTGTGAGTTCAGCACCATCACCACCCATGACAGCTAAATTAAAGCAAGCTCAATGTCTGTGCAAGCTACAACCACAACTTGAAGTACAGGAGCAGCTTTAGAACAGAACAGTCCTCTTGGAGCTGCAGGGGTTAGGCTTCTGAGGAAGCAAGGATGAAAAGAATGTATTCATAGAATCACAGAATCATAGAATCATAGAATGGTTTGGGTTGGAAGGGACCTTAAAGGTCATCTAGTTCCAACCTCCCTGTCATGGGCGGGGCCCCCTTCCACTAGCCCAGGTTGCTCAAAGCCTCATCTAACCTGGCCTTGAACACCTCCAGGGATGGGGCATCCACAGCTTCCCTGGGCAACCTGTTCCAGTGCCTTACCACCCTCACAGTAAAAAATTTCTTCCTAGTGTCTAATCTAAATCTACCCTCTTTCAGCTTACATCCATTACCCCTTGTCCTATTGCTATACTCCCTGATAAAGAGTCCCTCCCCATCTTTCCTGTAGACCCCCTTTAAGTACTAGAAGGCTGCTATAAGGTCTCCCTGGAGTCTTCTCCAGGCTAAAAAAGCCCAACTCTCTCAGCCTGTCCTCGTATGGGAGTTGTTCCAGCCCTCTGATCATCTTTGTGGCCCTCCTCTGGACTCGCTCTAACAGGTCCATGTCCTTCCTGTGCTGAGGACTCCAGAGCTAGATGTACATATTCCCTATGCATTGACTTGCACTGCAACATACAAGCATTTTTAGGGACTAAACACTGAGTAAACTGAAAGTCAATGTTTTCCAACAGGCTTTAAGTAGGATGAAATGGTCTGATACACATCAAAAGAACAGTTTTTTATCTACACAGGAAAGATTCCCTACTTTGCTAGGCTCCAGGACACTGCTGTATTTTGCCTGTCACTGATTGGGAAATACACTTAACCTGCTTGCAACCCGTGGCAGGGCAAAGGGAAGCCAAGAGAAGCCCTGGGCTTCTGTCTACAGTCGAGGTAAAAGCATCCACTGCCAAATCAGCAGCCACAGCTACACTCACCCAGAAGGTGATGCACTGAAAAGTGCCTGGCTTCTCTACATCCTGTTCCACCAGCGTGTAATTCTGGGTTGTCACCTCCAAGGTGATAGCCAGGTGGACAGCCTCAGTCAGGGAGCAGAGGTGAATGCAGAGCTTCTCCTCTTGGGAATGGTGAATGACAGCAGGGAACACCACAATATAATGACTAGAAGAGAGCAGGACATGTTCAAAAACAATTCAGAGGCTGAGGTGGACAGGCCAGAATCCATCTCTGCTGCTTTCATGAAGAAGTAGACCAGGGGTCAGAAATGTCTGGAGGTCTGCAGTGAAGGAAGTATGATGCAGCTCCCTTTGCATACCAGAAAGAAGCAATATGCCCAGTGTGGAACCAGAGGGCTCCTGATATCTGTCTGTCACCGCCCTGCCACCAGCCAGGACACAGCTGCCCAGTGTACACTCTTCCAACTGCCAGTACACATGAAGAGAAAGGCTGTGTGAGGAATGACGCCAAAGACTCTGGCTGAGGCATAACGTTTCAGTCCTCGCACCAAATTTCACCCCCACTGGCACAGAATGAACAGAAGCAAAACTTGTGTCTTCTGTAGCTTTACGGTGTGTGCAGTGCAGCACCTGCACAAGCAAACACCAGGGACTACACCTGCAGTGGTGTTCAACACCCAGTGCTCCAACAGGACTCAGTAGGAGCTGCTTCTGCTCAGCCTCCCTGAGAACAAGACCCCCACCGTTCAGCTCTGTGATGCTAAACAGTGCAGCACCTCAGCACCACCCTTCAATGACAGTCCCTTCCACCAAGCATCCCGAAATCAAAAGGAGATAATCTCACGGTTCCAGGCTTGCTGCAGATGTGACTGGGAATAAGGTCAGGGCTAGGAGGAGCACTGGTGCTCCCATTGCTTGGACTGGGAAAGACAGCTGACAAGATCCACACAGGACGAGACGACTGCCTGTACTGATGGGCTGGAGCAATCCTAAATACCCTTCTCAGATGCTTTTAAGTCCAAAGAGTGGGGGAGTTGACATATGGAGGTAGTATCTCTTCCAGGCTAATGACATTAGCTAATATTTACTTGCTTCCACCAACAACAGAGTAAAGGCCACATAGTGCAGTTCTCCACCCATGTCTACATTCAGATGGTATTCCAGGCCATCAGGTGTCAGAGCACTTGGGGGGAGATGTGGGGAGGGTGACCTCTAACCCAGGCTGAAGGGAACTTAGGAGAAACACTCATCTCAGCTCTGGCTGGCCTGGATCCTGGCTGTAACATCTGATGACAGCCAAAGTTGCACGCCAGCTACTGTCCTCAGCTTGTAAAAAGCATCCTCAGTACAGTCTCTGTGCATCATTAGTGATCTTCCCCTCATCCAGTATTTAATCAGAGCTTGAAGTAAAAACCTTTAAGTTCACCTCCATTTTCTGCATCACTACCTCTTTCTACCCATCCATCCCAGGGATGTCTGATCCTCCTGGGTACAGAACCTTTCCAGGGCTGCTTCTGCCACTCACTGCCAACCCCTCTTGTAGCTCCACTGTAAGGCCTTTCGAAATAAAGCAAGATATTTTTAGTTGCCACATATTTTAGCAAACCTCTGCTTCACATCGCCCCAAGTCAGATGTCTGGTCTTCTGCCAGCTTCCTCCAGCCATAAGGTGGTTGTACACTGACACCAACACCCGTCTTCTCCAGGCTCTTCTGAGGCACTGCGTCCTTGTTTTTCCTTTTCTGGGTGGCAGCAGTGAAGTGAACAGGGATTGGATGTATTTGCCCTCTAGTTACAACCTCATTTGAAGGTGGATATCCTCATCTGTCCTGGCCCCAGCTGTGTTTTTGCAGAGCATAACCAAAGGTACACAGTATAGAGTGAATTTGCCATCCACCTACTCTTTGCTCCCAGCTGAAGCAATCCCCTCAATTTACTTTGGCACAGTTCTCATGTGTGTGCTTACCACCCACTCTCTTAATGCACAGTATGGTGTGGAGCACACTAGCCTTTAACCTAGCACTGACATTCAGATAGTCTGCAGGTCTAAAGCCCTGTATGTCACTGATCTGGGATCATATTTGATTCTCTTAAATCAACAGGGTTTTGAGTTCAAGCCTAACCTATCAGGAAAAAAACAGAGTTCTGTCTGATTTCAGAAGCAGTCTTCATGGCTCTGCATCTCTGAATAGTCATCAAGCTGGTTGCCTCTTAAGTTAAAAGGGAAGAGATAGACAACAAAAAGAAAATAACATGCTAAAGTTCTTCCCTACTTCTGAAAAAGAGTGGGGGCTCTGGCAGAGCTGTGTGTGGAGCCCTGGGCTGGTCCATCTGGAGGCTGCAGGGAAGGAGTGAAATTTCAGTAAGAAGTAAATAACACATAAAAACAAGATCTACAGAAGAAGAAACCCGATCTGCCCCAGGATGTTTCCAATGAAATCCCAGTAAAGGCACCTTTATAAAAATTGTGCCCCTGTACCAAATATAGTAACTGAGCACTCCTGCTGCCATCAGTTGTGCTGCGTCAAAAGGCTGAGCAAGACATCTCCCAGATAAATATCAAAAAGCCTTACAAAGGCTCGAGGCAAGTGCCTTTGGTGCGTAGGCAACAAGCACTTTCTCCACCCCTTCTACCCGCCCACATCCCAGCCCCAGCCATGCGCAGCATGATTTCCACCTTCTTGGTTTTGAGGCCAAGAGAGAGACGGGCACCCTGTCAAGGCAGGAGCTGCATAGTCCATCTGCTCTGGATGAGGGGGAGAGGGAGGAAGGAAAGCAGCAGAAGCAGGGGCAAAGGGGAGACAGAAGAGAGGCTCAGCTTTCCGTGGAGGTATTTGACCTGCAATCAGCTATGTGGAGCATCGCTTTCCTGTGGGGCAGCATCCTTCTCCTGCCTAGCACGGCCAGAACGCCTGCAATGCTGTAAGAACCTCAGATGCTTCACATATGCACTCTGCTCTGTGAGGGATCCTGGGGGGGTGGCGGTGTGGCAGAAATAGGACAGAAATCCTAAGAGCAGGAGTGTTTTTCCAAAGAGGCATATCTCCTGTTCCCAAGGTTTCACTTGGTTCTCATGCACCCTCCCTGCCACACTCTCCATATTACTTGCATCTCCCTGTAGTGCCTTTAATGTAAATCATGTATTTCTGCAAGGATTCAGGCAGAGCAACTCTGCCAGTTTTCTGCATGTGCTTAATTCTGACTTGCCAACATCTCACATCTCCTACGCTGCTCCAGAATGTATTTCCTTTTGGGCTGTGCTTTTCTCCCCAGAATCAGAGGTCACCATTTAAATCATTAATGGACAAAGCTGGGTGCCTTTATAAACAGGGCAAATGTGAGCTCAAGGTATCTAACAGGGATGCTCTTTGTAAAGCTATGTGTTCACTCTGGCTTAGCTGGCCATCTCCTCCCTCAGACTTTCTAAGAAACCTCTAGCAAGGACAATTCCCAGCACTGCTTCTCTTCATATACTTTATCAGGAATGCAACTCCTGTTCCAGCAGGCACTGCTGTGATATACTGGCTTGTGAACTTGCTCTTGACTTTGCTTTTGCAGCCATGGCATAAGTGTAAACAGAAACAGGGCTGTGCTCACACAGGAGATGTTACAATGGGAAATATGTCACTGGGTTGTAGCTGGGTGCCTTCATGCCCTGTGTGGTGTGGCATGTACAAGTCTAATTTTAAAAATGTCTTCCAGCAGGAGTTCAGCATCTTCCTCTGGGACATGTTCCACATCTGACACAGCTCCTGCTCAAATAATGCTTTACTGCTGCCTATTTTCCACTGTTAATTCAGGAGGAAGCTTTGCTTTATGGAAATACTGCCTGCTTCAATAGGCTGTCTGCTGTCCTGCCTTTATGCCAATGTGTTTTGTAGATTCATGAGAAAGTAATCCAGCCTGGCTCTTGGGATACTTGAATGACAGCCCTGAGTCACCTTAAGTAGGAAAACCAAAATGTCGTTGGCATCCTTTATCAGATCCCCCACTATTAGCAGCAGACAAGCTGATCAAGGCAGCTTGACAGCACTGAAGTGTGAAAGCACTCAAGGCTCCTGGCCAGCAGGACTTTGACTCCCTCTTGCCAGGGTGCTGGACTCCAGCTAGGAGCTGCCAACAGGAGTCCCTGCCTTGTGGTGTTCTGATCTTTCCAGGCCCTGCCCTCCTGCTGCTGCAAAACGTGCTGTTGACTGAACCTGTCCAGAGGCAGTAAGCAGGAGAAGTCAGTGATGAGAGTTTTGAAATCTGCTGGAATGTTGGTTTTTCTTCGGTCCTAGTTGCTGCACTGCAGTGTAAGATTAAAAAAACAAAGCAGCATGAACAGCTTCTTGGTGTTGTCAATGGGTACAGCTGCAAGAGTAGCCGCAGAGGTGTGAGAACTGGAATAAGAGAGCAAGGAGGGCAGGAGTGTTGGGAGCTGAAGAGAAGGTGACTCTCTGTCTGAGACACAAAGCCAGGACACCGTGTCCCATATGCATGGCATTGGTTCTGAGCTTAAGAGTAGCCGATAGGACAGAAAGCAGATGACCAATCAAGCAGACTGATGGTGCTACATAGTGTGGTTCAGTGAAAAGGCTGAAGTCTCAGGAAACCTGCAACGTAGCCAAGCTCTGCTGCTGATCTCTTGGGTGATGTGAGGAGGTCTCTTCACCTTATTTTGACTTTCATTTTGGAAGCAGTGACTTTATCTTTTTACATGTGCATGCAGCACGTAGTGCAGACGCAGTGTCAATGGCTGCAGTACCAATAGATGAGAACAGTGCGATCTTGTCCCACTGGCATTGCGACAGTGGAATCAAGAGACCAAAAGTCTTATTAGAAAGTACTCAAATCCTACAGTCAAAATCTATCCTCTTAGAAAAACAATTTCACCTGAGGGTTTTTTTTTTCTTTTTTAATAGAAATTATGCTGTGGCGATACCATCTCAGCTCTACTACCCCTTCTCAGAGACAGTGTGCCTCCAGCTCAGCAGAAAACAAGCATTCCCGATCCATGTGACTGTAATCTTGCAAAGCAGAGCTGGGAACCAGACTCTGATCACTCAGTCCATCTCTCAGCTCACTTTCTTTCATTGCACAAGCTTCCAGGTGAGGAATATATTTTCCAGGGTTGTCGGGAGGGTGGACAACACACAAGTTCTGCTCTATCTGGAATTGTGTCTTCCCATGGGCACATCTTAATCAGGCACTGAACCTTCTGCATCAGCCTGTGTAGGTCTACCAGTGTCCTTCCTGCTGTGTAGCCCCACTGATACTTTGCTCTTCTAGAAAACATTCTGAAAAGTACTGTTAGGTCTTTCAGGGCAAGAAGAACTGGAGCAATACAAAAGCAGTATCATAATCATTATTCCAAAAGCCTGTGGATCCATGAATGGGATCCACCCTGAATGATGGTTACAACTATGCCTGCAGGTCCCTCCTCCTGTTGGAAACGCTGATGAAGTGGCTTTTATTGTTATCACAGTCCTGGAAGCCAACTCAGAGTTTCAGAAGAAACAGGAAGTCCTAATCAAGCATGCAGACAAGAAGACTTTTATCCAGACAGACAAACCTGTGTACAAACCTGGACAAATCGGTATGGACAGAATGCCATGTCTTACAATGGAAAGAAAGGTCCTCGAGCCACAAAATATGGGGTAACCTCTAGCACTTGGAGCAGGGCCTGCTTTGCAAGGGAGATGAGTCACAGGCTTCATCTCCCTTCAGGGCTTTGGGGAATGTGGGGATACCTCTTTCCTATGTCAGCATGGCATGAGTTTTCTCCAGTACTAGCCATACTCACATAGCATGTCAGTGTGAACAGGGCTTGTGTGTTTGGCTGGTGTGTGAGAAGAGGTTTAGACACCACTGTGTTATATTCATGGTTGCTCCAGTTGAAGCCACAGTAGTCTGTCAGTGCCCCTAGCAGGGCTTTGGGCATACGACCAGGAGTGAATGGTGCCAGCTGCTGCCCACACCCTCTCAGTGAAGCACATGGACACGTCTTTCTTAGCCATCCATTCTTATTATTACTAACAGACTTGATTTCATTTCAGCCACTCGTGTTTTTCTTTTGCCCTATAGTCAAGTTGCGAACTGTAACCTTGGATCAGAACTTTATTGCCAGCAATGAAATGGTAAGTCAAGAGGGAAGAAACCTGAATAAGTCTGAAAATGCAATGGGCTGCCTCCATGACTTCTGGATCAGTGCTGTCCATCTGTGGACAGCTAGTCTCAGTGTCGCTTTTGGTGCTTATAAACAGCATTGGGCACCACCTGCAACGCTGGAGCTGCTCGTGATGTTGGGTCACAGGCAGTCCCTGAAAATTGCTTAGGAAAAGCTCACGGATGGCTGGGGGAAAAAATGCTGGGGAGGTGGATGGTAACTTACCTGAAAGCATCCCACCAGTGACTGTTATTTCCTTCCCACAGCACCGCCTGGTGGAACTGAAGGTAAAGCACCTGCGTTATTGAAAGTGGTGATCTCGCCTTGGGGAAGACACAGGTTTGGTGTCCCACAGATGGTGGGGAAATATGGATGCAGAAAGCCAGTTACCTCAGAATGAATGAGAATGGTCCTTGGCTTCTTGCCCTTCCTTCAGTATCCACACAAGTTTGGCAGTGCAGTGTTATGATACCGATCACAGTCCCTGCAGTAAGTGATTGAAAACCAGTCAGCTGTCCAGCAAACTTTTCTAGAGTTGTCACAGGACTTTTAGTCCCTCTAGCCTGTGCATTGAAGATTTGCGAATTAGCCCCTCTAGCCTGTGCATTGAAGATTTGTGAAAATCCTGAAGTTTCTATAAGGAGAATTTTGTATTTAACATATGGAAAATAAAAGTTTGATCAGTTAGTGTTGTGGCTACACAGCTAGAGAAACTTCCTAAAGCAGCTTTCAGGATATTGCCCTTAAAATCTGTTAGTTCAGTTTCAATATTACAGGTAAAATATGGACTGCAGTCACCTGAGCTGAGGAAAGATACCTGAAAGCGGTAGGGAGTTTGTAATTACCCATGCACAGAGGTCATAGTTCCAACTAGCAATTGGCCATAGCTAATGCACATTTGTATGCCATGTCCACCAAGCAATCAATACATAAATGTGTGGTTTCTGAGACACCTATGCAACACTTTATGCCAGTTTACACGAACGTTATACTCTGATGCAGCTTCACCCTTTCAAACAAATTTCCCGCTTTCTCCATATGTTTATAAAGCACCCATCAACTCATTGCTAAGTCCTTCTTGGCCAGGCAGTATGACCATAGTCAGAGTTCTGCATCTTGCCCTCCCGAGAACCAGCAGTGGGAGAACAGTGTCTGTCATGGACCGACCATAACAGTCAACAAAGTCTCCAAATGCCCTTGCATCCCAGGTCTTTACATCTTCCTTTCTATAGTGGGCCTCATGGTCTCCTGCATGAAGTCCTGGACCCATTTACCCAGACTTTCCTGGGGATTCAAGACATCAGGTTCCCTAGCAATCACTCCCAAGTAGCTCATGCCTCAGGGGGGACTATGCCAGCTCAGATCACCACAGAAGTTTCTGAGAGGGACCACTTTTATCTCTCGGTGTGACAGGCAGGCAGTAAACCACAGTTTTGCAGCAGTCAGTGAGACGGCAGTGCCACCACAGAGCAATAAAATAATAGATTGACTTAATCAATGAGATAGGGAGAAAAGCCCTGTCCTCTTTGAGCTTGGACTCACTTGAGCACTGAAGCTGTGTCATAGACCTGGGCTCTCAGGACAAAAGGGTATGTGCTCAGACCATGCTGTGAAAGCTTGGACATCCTGCAAAACAGTCGCTTTTTGCACTGGGAAATAACTCTGCTACTGCCTACACAGGACCCAAAAGGGAACCGAATTGCACAGTGGCTGAATGTTACACCTGTGGGAGGCATTGTGGATCTGTCCTTCCCTCTGGCTGCAGAAGCACCGGTTGGAGAGTACACCATCAAAATGCCTGACCGCACACATACCTTCAGTGTAGAGGAGTATGGTAAGAATCTCAGGGAGCTGAAGGGAGCAGAGAAAGATGTATTGCTTCCAGCCCCCTCTCTCACACAGAGCTGAGTGGGCCATGCAGCTGTAAACAGCTGTGCTAGTTGTGCCAGCACCTGAGATATCCAACTGCCTGCCAATAGGTATAATCACTGACTTTCACTAAAGCCCACTGGCTTTCTTCTCCCCTACATCCTGAGAATGGACTGAGGCCCACTGTCCCACAGCCTTGCTCCGTGGAGGAGACTAAGGCTGCCTACTCCCCCCACACTCTCCTGGCTGGGCTGCTAATACATTACTACCAGGCCCTCTACTGGTAGCCAGGGAATGAAAAGAGAGATTTTTCTCTAAACAACAATTTGGGGAGGATTGGAACAAGTGAGTTCTCTCTATATTTAGAATTTAATTCTGTTCCTCTTGCTTTCACACAGTGCTGCCCAAGTTCAGTGTCTCCATCCAGATGCCTCAGGTGGTCACCATCTTGGAGGAGAACTTCCGTCTCCACGTCTGTGGCATGTGAGCTGATTTACCATGGCAGAAGGTGCATTCTTATGGGTTCGGAAACTGCACACCTATCAATAACTGAGCTCAAAACGTTCTCTGCCAACCCTACCCCCACCCCAAAATCTGCTACCCTGGCATGTTCTGCTGAGGAATTCTTCTCACCTTTCTCCATAGCCTCTCTCCCTGCTTCTTTCACTGTGGGTTTGAAAATGTGGCAGTGGATCCCCTCAGTGGGGCATGTCTGCCCTACAGTACAGTACCTGTGCTGCATTGATTAGTGCCCGTATGGAAGGAATAATGACTCATCTTGTGGGCAGTGCAGTGTCCCCTAGCACTGCCTGGTGGGACTAGTGTTGACTTGAAGAGAACTCATCCATCACTGCCTTCTGTCTCAATCTGATGAAGTAATTTTAACTTCTTGGCCTCTGCTGAGCTCATGAACCATGAAGATACTGCAGGCTGCTGGGTTGTATAGCTGCAATACACAGGCTAAAGCTGGTGTCATTCACCTTTGATCCAGTGTTTCTACATGTAAGTCTTCTCTGCTATGTTTGCCAGGTACACGTATGGGAAACCAGTCCAAGGTAGTGTGAAGGTTGTGGTGTGCCGTAAACATATCCGCTATAATCGGAAGTCTTCCAGACCCAAGGGCAGTATTTGTAAGGATTACACTGGTGAGGTGAGCACATGGGACATTCACTCCTCTTGCAAAAAAGAGGAATGGGAGTAAAGAGAAGGAAGAATACTAAAGGAAGGAGCGGGACAGACATCAACTGTTGAAGCACCATGCTCTTTGCTTGGGGATGAATGACTGATATGTCCTTAACTCCCCAGTGCAGCAATCTTAGCCCCTCTTAGTGATTTCTCTAACTTCATTTAGATACACTCAAAGGAAGAAGCATCTTCAGACAAAGTATTGCAGATTTGCCTACAAAACAGGTATTGTGACAGGACAAAAAAAAAAAATACACTGTCCACATCAATTCACTTCTACTGGATGCTTTTCAGTACCACCTTTTAATCTCGTATAAACACCTATGTGCTCTTTCCCAGAAACAGCTGGTTTGGAGACACAGAAATTACCTCTTACATCTAAGCAAGCAATTGCAGTTCAGCACAGACTTTACTTATTCATCTCTAGGGTTGAATGAGTGTATCTATATTTGTTTAAATATTTTTAAGTAACCCAGCACATATCTTAAAGATAAATCCTGCCCCAGCAGAAGAAATCATGTTGTCAGGGAGATATGACAATTCATGTTTGTTACTGGCACACATGTGAGCGTGTAAAGATGAG